TTGCAAGGGAAAAGTTGTAAGGAGGTTCTTAGCTTGATCATGTATTTGTTATGTATCATAAGTAATAATTAATATGAAAAGTAACATTTATGTTTCTACTTGTCCCTCTAACTGATGACGGCAATATCTTGACTGGCTTAGGGTTGCATTGAAGGAAGATGTACCCTCATTCTTAGGTCATGTTTGGGAGTGTTTATGTTAAAAATAAGTGTTTAAAAATATGTGTTTATTCGAATTATTACTTATTTGCATTTGACACTGATCTTTTTCAAGTGTTTATTTTAAAAATTATGCATTCATTTCATATTGGGTGTTTGATGGTCTTGTTCTCTAATAAGCACTTACATAAGCATCTGTGACTATTCTGTCCTTCATTTTCTTTCAAATTTTACAAAAACACTTATAAAAACAATTTTATAAAATTATGTTTAAGAAAGTACTTTTATAAAAATACTGTCATGAAAGTACTTTTACGAAAGCACTTTAATAAATGCACTTTTATGAAAGTACTTTTATGAGCCAACTTGGAGATCTATCCTATGAGCCATGCCTTCTACTACCTTGGCCCCTGAATTGACAACCTTGATCCACCCAGTCTGTTTGGTGGTGGTCAAGCCGAGCCGCTTTGCCTCCGCAAGCGAGATGAAGTTATGGGTGGCCCCAGTGTCCACCAAGGCTTGGGTCGGCCTCCCGCCGAGGGTGATGTCTACATATTTCAGCCCCTTGTGGGCTTTGGTGGGCTGCTTGGATGTGGCTTCTTTCTTAACTACCTTTGTGAAAGTGCTTATGGAAGTACTTCTATAAAAGTACTTTTGCGAAAGCACTTTTATGAAGGTACTTTTATAAAATTCAAATAGGGATAGTTTTGAAAAAAAAACTTGAATAAATTTTTATTGTATAAGCACATAAAAAAAGTTGGAAAATTGGGCTTAGAAAATAAGCACTTATCTAATTATCTTGGGCTTATTTCCAAAACACTAATAAAGGCTTAATGACCCAAATAAACACTTATTTTTAAGCACTTCCAAACATGGCCTAAATATATCACCAATAATTGTTTCTTCATCTGGTTTAGAATCACTAATTTTTTATTCTTTAAATTGTTTCTCTTTGTACTATTTCATTACTACTCAGTGTACTGGTTTTTCTGAATCGTAAGTCACCGCGTCTATCTACTTTTGCTATACCTCCATTTACTTTGATTGTTTTCACCTCTGTAGAGTTATCTAGTTAATAGTCATGCATCTCTCATTGTGATTGTTTAC